AATCACACTGCCTGCAGCCTGAGAATAGCTTGATAGGGGCCAGCGTGCACTTCAGAAGGAGGCAAGAGCTAGCAGAATCTGGATTAGGGTGGAGATGGGCAGAAATAGGTTGGAAGTATTTAGAACTCTGGGTGTTCTTGTTTGTCAGTGTCCTGCTTAAAATGCAATGCGTAGGGGCGCCCGGGTGGCTCAGTCGGTTAAGCGTCTGACTGCGGCTCAGATCATGATCTCGCGGTTCGGGAGTTCGACCCCCGTGTCAGGCTCTGTGCTGACAGCTTGGAGCCTGGACCTGCTTTGGATTCTGTGTCTCCCTCTCTCTCTGACCCTCCCCTACTCGCGCTCTGTCTCTGTCTCTCTCTCAAAAATAAATAAACATTACAGAAAGTTTTAGAAAAGGGAAGAAAGCCAGCAAAAGGTGGGGAGCCAGCCAGTCACTGCTGTGAACAACTCTGGGAGCCACGTGCAGGAGTCATCCCAACCCAGGCGGGAAGGAGTGGAGTGCTTATTACCAATTTCCAACAGTCATTCACTGGGACACTAACTCAGGTACCTCCAGCTTGCCTTGGGCCAGTGTCCCGGGTGTGCTATGAGCAGCCTTCAGAATGTGGAAGCGAATGTTGACCAGGCCGGGTGGGGCCCAGAGGTGCGTGTTACACCTTGTCCAGGGTCCAAGAGACAGAAAGAAAAAGAGCAGGAAGAGTGGTAAGAGGTGGGGGTTGGGGGGGTTCTATGCCAGAACTCAACCATGTGGCTCCAAGCTGCCTGGAACATGGACTGGGGATTGTGAGGAAGCACATAGACTGTCTGATGAGCGCTACTGGTTTCTGCCACGATATACAACCTTCGATACAGTTTAGCTGATGCAGAAGAGAGTGGCATTATATCCTTCTTGGGTAAAGGCGTTATACCTCTGATAACACAGCTGACAGTCCTTGAGCTGCCTCGGCAGCCACATGTCGCTGATGGTTCCTGCCTCCTACACGGCCCTGTTCTCTGGGTACTCCCATGGCTGCTGGTTGAGGGCAATGCCCACTTGAACACCACACGCTCGTGCTCTCCTACGCAAATTGGGCATTTCCCTAGAGGGACAGCACCCGCTCCCCACAGGCCCCCTTTGCATGCTGCTTTTCATGACACGCTTAACTCTTCCAAGCTGGAGGGGCCCCACCGGCACTGGTGAGTGCCAAGACCACTCCTGATGGCTGGAGGCGAAGGGGCCAGTGCACATCCCACAGTGTTGGCCGTGGGTGAGTTTGCCGCCCAAGGCATCAAAAAGTTTGAGCAGGGTCATGATATCCTGCTTTCCATTTACACCCAGTCACACTCTGGGGGGTTACAGGGAAGAGGTGCAGAAGACACAAAACACTGCTGAATGCACTACCAAAGACCCCAATCGCAGCAGATAAGAGTAATGGACCCCCAAAGTCTACCTCCTGATCTCTGGAACTTGTGAGTGGGTTACCTGCAAAGCTCTTTGCAGATGTGATTGTGCTAACAATTTTGAGATGGGGAGACTATCCTGGATTAGTCAGGATTACCCATGCGCTCAGTGTTCTTAGAAGAGGGAGGTGGGACGGTCAGAGGCAGAGGAGAAGTGACGACAGAAGCAGAGGCTGGAGGGACATGGGGTTGTGAGCGGGGGAATGTGGTTATCTTCTCCAAGCTGGGAAAGGCCAGGAAATGGATTCTCCCCGGGAACACAACTGCCAACCCCTTGATTTTTAGCCTGTTGTGACCCATTTCAGACTCCTGACCTCCCAGAACTGTGAGAAAATAAAACTTGTGCTGTTTTAAGCCAATAAACTTGAGGTCATTTTCTACAGCGGTAATAGGAAACCAATAGAGATTTTCAAAATGCACTACTGAAGCTCAAGTACAGAGCTAATAATTATTACCATTCCAAGGTTATTATAAGGGTCATTTGCCACTCCACTCCCACCTGCAGTATCTCCCGGAATCCCCACAACAGCCTGAGCAGTAGGCTCTTTACTTGTCCCCATTCCACAGACAAGAACATTGTGGCACCCAGAGGTTAAATTACCTGCCCGAGGTTCCTGGCTGGTACATGGCAGGGTTGAGACTTGAACCCAGGCCATTGGATAGGTTGCTTCTTAACCACCCTGTAACATGGTTTCTTGACTGTTCAGCAAAAGAAACAATGATTGAATGGGCAGGGCGTTGAAGTGGACGTGAGTGGGCAGATGGTATTCCAAGAGGGGGACAGCACAAGTCAAGGGGTGATGGCTAAGGAATTGCCCCCCCCCCCCCATGCAGCCTTGTGTCCCTGCTGTGGCCTCTGACACAGTTCTGGCCTCACCTGGTGCTCAAGAGGCCACCTCTACCTTCTCCCTAGAGAGCACCTGCTCTGCCCCACCCTCTTTTTGAGGCTGAGAGATTCCTAATCTTCTTCCCACCCCACTGGATCAACTCACTGATAACATTGGTACATGACACCGGGGCAAAGTGACCTCCTTCACCCATTTTATTCCACCCCCCCACCCCAAAGCTCTTTAATGATGACCTTTTCAAATGTTTGACAAATACACTCATGAAAACCCTGACCCAAGGGGGAGTGATAAATTCAAAATTAATGTCTAATATTTAATATTTTCTTTCAATAACTGTAAACCAAATTCTGGTGATAACGAGAATAATAGGTTTCGAACCCAATCAAACTGTTTTATGTCAAGTATTTTAAACTAATGTGGAAGTTAGAACTTGCAAAGAATGGATACAGCATGGCATGGAGTAAAAAAGAGGTTCGAGCTGGTAGCCAGCTTGGGTGCCACTAAAAGGGCACATCAGCTACAAACAGGGAGCCGTGCCCACAGTAGAAAACAGAGATTCAAGGCAACCCTTCCGGGTTCCTGGGCTCCTACACCGCAACCCCCCCCAGCCTCACCCCTCTACACCTGGGGCTGTGTTTTAGGCTCTGCCGGCAGCTCAGAACCCTTGTCTACCACGCACATTGATGCTGCAGCAGATGTCTGGGGACAGACACCTCCTTGGCTGTATCTCCCTCATCCTGCTCTGCACCTGTGGGTTCACCTCTAGAGGGCCCCCTAAAAGGTCCTGCAGGTGCCACCAGCCTAGATGCTCCAGCTTGAGGACTGAGGGGAACAATATACTTCCCTACCTGTATCCTACTTGTGATACCTAGCATTTCCATCCAAACTAGTAGAACAGGAGAACCTGATACAGCCGAAGGAAAAAGGCAAAAATAATACTCCCCTGTCCTCTCCTTCACACCCAACTCCCACCTAGTCTGAATTCAACTCCTCCACCTACAAGCTGGGTAACCTTTAGCGAGTAACTTCACCTAAGCCTTAGTCCCCAGTTCTGTAAAATAGGGACAGTGTTACCTTTCCCATAGGATTGTGGGAGCATTACACAAGGTGATGCATGTGACCAGACACGGAGGAAGCCCCAGGCAGTGCCAGTTCTTGTCAGTCATGCAGAGACACACAGACACAGAGACCTCTCCTATGGTCACTTGCACACATGCAGTTGCACAGAGGCCCAAAGCCACAGGGAGCTCGCACATGGGCACACACAGGGACACACAGATCCGGGGGACCCATGGAGCCACTCCATCCAGGCCCTTGCTCTGCCTCAGCCCCGTTTGGTTAGAGCTGGACCTGACCTGTTTTTCTGGGAGAACTGGCAGCATCAAAGGGAGCCCTTTCAGCTCTGCCCCACTTTGATATGCTGATGGAGGGGCCCTGGCCTGGCTCCCCACATACTCAGACTTTCATGCCACAGCGCTCCAGGCATAAAACCCCACAGCCTCACCCCTTTAATTTTTGATCTGGGGGAGTAGAGGCAGGAGGTGCAGCTGGGAAAGGATTTCTCATCCACAGTCCATAAACACACAGGCACACTCACAGCGACACAAGCAGACTGGACATAAAAGCACCTGTTTTCTGCTCACAGGCATAGCGCCCTGCCTAGCAGGGAGGGGACCCAGCAACCTCGCAGATCCAAATCCTCTGACTCCAGATTCAAGGCTTTTTGCACTGTGAGAGGCTGCATTAGCCCTATCTCCACTGTCACCACCACCACTGTCACCATCATCACCATTACCATAGCCACCATCAGCACCAACAGCATAACCGCCACAACCATCATCCCCACAGCCATCCCTACCATCCCCACCACCACTGTCACCACCACCATCCCCATCGTCCCCACCATGCCCACCACCATCCCCATCATCATCGCCATCATCCCCACCACCATCCCCACCATCCCCACCACCAACCCCACCATCCCCACCACCGTC